GAATAAGGGAGAGCAGGGAGAGGGGAGAGCAGTTAAAGAAGGTGAGGAAAGGAAGTGAAGAAGAGCTGAGACAGAAACAATGATCGTCTGACGAGTGTGAAAAAGTCTGTCCTCGCTGTTAGCAGCACACGGCGCTATCACACCGTCTGTCTGTCTGTGTCTGTGTCTGTGTCTGTGGGCCGGGCTGCCACTCGTAATGACTCCCCGCACATTCTGGGCTTCATGTTCTGCAGGAATCTACATACAGTACCGTACCGTTCTCTGCTCGACACAGACAGAGTTCTAATCAAGGCGTTTTTAAAAAGTCAACCCAGCAACAGACACATCAGCGTCTGTGGACCGCAGAGACACGGTCGGCTCGAGTCAGGGTCCAGGACTCATGTCCGGTCCACTCCACCTGAGTGATACTGTTGTTATCTGCTTCTTGTCAGTTCGACTTTGTCAAACTGCTGGATGGGAAGGCGCTGCCCAGATCCTTGACTGATCCCGTCTTGAACGTCAAAGCTCCTAAAGGTCTGCTGCTGAACGGCCTCCAGGAAACGGGCTTCATCGAGTACATGGACCCCGGAACCTGGCACCTGGCCCTGTACAACGACGGACGCAACCTGGAGCAGGTCGTCCTCCACAGCAGCCCAATAGGTGAGCAGACGGTTCTGAAGCGGTGGTTCCCGGCCTGTTGCCGTACATGGTCCAGTTGGGCTTTTTTTGTTCATTTAGCCTAAGAACGTCAGCACAAAAAAAAACCTAGTGCGCCCCCTGTATATATAAAGCGATATAATCTGCTATTGCACTTATAAACAAAGGACAATTGAAATTTATATTTCAATGGAAAATATTCATCGTTTTGTTACAAATAACATTGTTAAAATATTTTTATAAATCTGTGTTTGTTATATTTAAAAAAAATATTTTTATAAATCTGTGTTTGTTATATTTATTTAAAAATAATTTACCACCATAAAAATACTTTTTTTTAAAATTAACATAAAAATATAAAATATGGAAAAGTTTCTGCAATACATCACCTACAACAGTAGGGGTCTGTGTACGTCGGGTTGTGAGAAACTTTTCTGAAGTTGAATTTGTACCAACGTTTATTTCAAGCAGACGAGTTATTTTTTAAGAAGTTATAAAATATTTTAATTACAATAAAAGCTTATATATCTCTCTCTGTTGGACCGTCGGCAGAAACTGTCGGTTGTCTTCAAACTCACGGAGGTTCCGGGGGAACTTTTTTTTTTTTCTCCCTGAGAGAGAGTGTGTGGTGGCAGAGGCAGCAGTTTGAAGGGGGAGGACAGCTCCTGTAATAATGACAGGGCTTGCTAACTGTAGCTTATTGCTATTACACACACGGATGGCAGTGTAAATTGAGGGATGTGAATAATGCAGGAGTACGTGGCTGAATATAGACAAGTGGGTAATTACTGGGGCAGTTTCCTCACTCCCACTCTGTCCAATGGTCCTTAGGAGAACGCAGTGTTTGAATAAGAAACAAAAAGGAAAAAAAAAAAAAATACATGTTTGGAAATGTGCTAATGCAGTCACGTTAGAGGGGGGAGGGGGTGAGGCAATTATATGGCATGAAGAATGTTAGCATCAAAGACAGTATATTTAGATAAGAACTCAGTGAGAAGGACGATGAGTGAGTGATGTGGAATAATAACTGACTTCACTGAGAGAAGTTTAGAACAGAAGAGAACGTTCCATTTGACTGTGTCTGTACCAGGACTGTTGTAGCTAACGTTAGCTCTGGTGTCTGTACCAGGACTGTTGTAGCTAATGTTAGCTCTGGTGTCTGTACCAGGACTGTTGTAGCTAATGTTAGCTCTGGTGTCTGTACCAGGACTGTTGTAGCTAATGTTAGCTCTGGTGTCTGTACCAGGACTGTTGTAACCAACGTTAGCTCTGGTGTCTGTACCAGGACTGTTGTAGCTAACGTTAGCGCTGGTGTTCGTACCAGGACTGTTGTAGCTAACGTTAGCGCTGGTGTTCGTACCAGGACTGTTGTAGCTAACGTTAGCGCTGGTGTTCGTACCAGGACTGTTGTAGCTAACGTTAGCGCTGGTGTTCGTACCAGGACTGTTGTAGCTAACGTTAGCGCTGGTGTTCGTACCAGGACTGTTGTAGCTAACGTTAGCTCTGGTGTTCGTACCAGGAGTGTTGTATTAATCACAGCAGACGGGTTCAAATTTGCCTCATTTATATTAATACGTGTTGTAAGGCTTTGGCTTGAAACCGTCACTAATGGATTGGTGTCAGAGTTCGTTCTTGTTCCCATTTACACGTTGGACCGGTCTCAAATAAAACCCCCGCTTTGTTTTCGGAGGCAGAATTTATCGTACTGTAGCCATTGAGCTGTACTACAATAAATTCTAATATGACATGGAGCAGAGTCGGAGTGAAGCAGAGATGAGGGAGAAATTAAATGATCTTCTCTTTCAGGAAATTGAGCTTTTCCGCAGCAAGAAGTAACGAGATACAAGAAGGGAATAGAATAAATAACAGAGGAGAAAAAGGCTGTCATGAAAAGACACAATAAATAATATAAAGTAAATCAATATCATATAAAGTATAACGAGACGACAAATATGAGGAGCCGAGCAGGATGACACACACACACACACACACACACACACACACACACACACACACAGGGAACATGCTGCGACTGAACGTATTCAATTTAAATTTGTATTCATTTAAAATGTGGGAGAACACATCGTTCCGTACAGTAACGTTTAAATATGCGAGGACGTAGCTCGGTGGCTAACGTTAGCTAGTGTCAAATACTTAAAAAAACAGTGTGAATAAAAACACTAAAATAAATGGTTTGAGTTTTTTTTTTTTGCCACATGCAGACGTGTGTGTGTGTAGATTAAAATAAAACAAATTAACTTAAATTAAATCGTCCCATAGGGAGCGCTCTACACGCACTGTGAACGTACATCAGTGTTGGAAGAGAAACGAGGTATGGGATTATTTAAAACACAATACGTTTAATCCTAGTTTTAAATTAACTTTTTTTTTTTTTTTCCGCTGTTCCACATCCTCACCACCGATGTCAGCGGAGAGCCTTTTTTTTTTTTCCTCCCCCACTGTTCTGGAGGTTTACCTGTGATCTTCAAAAACCGCAGCCTAATGATTTGTGTCATTGTTCCGTCTCGGTCGCAGCTTCGTCTTCTTTGATTCTCTGGCAGAGCGCGGCGCCACCCGCAGGCTTATTAATTATGCATAATTGTTATATTTCAACTGTCGCCACACGTCATCTTAAATGTTATATTCCCAACTCAAGTATGAAAAAAAAAATAGAAGAGAGTTTCTCACTGATGTGGAGGAGGAGTTATTATTATTATTTATTTATTTGTAGATTTTATTACACGTCGGGTAATTAACAAAAAAAGAGTCGCGGCTAAGTTATTCTTGTTAGCTGAGAAGCTATTTTCTTTCATCAGTCCATCAGGGCCAAGGGTCATAAAGCAGGGCTGGAAGTTTACGGCCTCATAAAGTACAATTGGAACGCTTATTTGACCAATCAGATCGCTTGGCTGGAAGCAGCCAGTTTTATAATAGCGTTTAACTGCGATAACTTACGGCATGAGTGATTTCTAACTGGAGACGGTTTAGTCAGTGGAAAACACACACACACGCTCACGACGCTGTAACCAATAAGACGCGGCTCCACTGCTCTTCAAACATTATCTGTTAATTACCTGCAGGGATTTAAAAAAAAAAAATTATAGTTGCGACATTAACCTGAAAGTAACGAAGCGTCTATCGTCACGGTTCCTGTTTTTTTTTTTTTTTTTTTTTTAAAGCATCTTTGTGACCTTGCAGATTCATTTTTGTTCGTGTCAGGTGTGAAACACAACACGAAACCTGAGCTAAATATTTTTCGGCTTCTTTTTTTTTTTTTTTACCCGTGATGGAGAAAGACGTGTGGAAAAAAAAAAAAGGTTTGTGAGTTCTCCTGACTGTCCTCCTCCTCCTCCTCCTCCTCCTCCATCAGTCTGACGGTGACAGGTGACGGAGGTGAAAATGACTCTGTGTCTGTGTCGATCGCTGCTGTCGCAGGAGAACGCCGTGCTACAGGCTACTGGCAGGCTAGCTCGCTCATTAGCATGTGTCACATGGGCCTCGAGGCGGGTGTCACACAATAACTTTGTAGGTATGTTTATATATATGTGTGTGTGTGTGTGTGTGTGTGTGTGTGTGTGTGTGTGTTTGTGGAAGCCACACGATTGACGTGACAGATTTGCCCTCCGCGCTCCCACAACAGAGCGCGCTCAGGGACTGCAGTGGTTTGACTCTTGAGCCTCTGTGTGTGAGTGTGTGTGTGTGTGTGTGTGTGTGTGTGTGTGTGTGTGTTCAGAGGAGCTGAGCTGAAGCACAGGGTCATATCAAGGATGACACGCCTGACACACGTTTTAATTACTACATCCAGCTCAGCAGAGCTGCTCTGCTGCAGTTCTCACTCTGCCCTCCAGCCTCCGGTCCTCACTGGGCCCCCGCCCCACTGATACATCACCATCTTGCTGATTTGTTGTATACAAATTGCAGGAAGCATAAAAATGTTTTGTGCGACTTCTCCTAATTTTCTCTGCGACGGTTTCTGTAGATCAGAGTGTGAGAGATCAGCGGCTTAGATAACTAACTAAATAACTAAATAGATAACTAGATATAAATATATATTATATATAAGTTATTTAGATAAGTAAATCAGACGATTTAGTTGGAGAAAAGATCAGGAAAAATAAACGTCGTCAACAACAACAAACAAACCAACAAGTGTTTCTGTTATGGAGTAGCGTCAGGTCATCGGAGCTGTTACTAACACGGTTTTACAAGTTAATAAAAGATATTTATATTGACCAGGACACACACACACACACACACACACACACTCACACACAGGCTCCACCAAACCACGACCACAGTAGAACAACCTGGATCCACAGCAGCCGTTGTGAAACTGCCAACCGGCCGTGGGAGAAAACTCGGCTC